CTGAAATGGATGCAAACCTTCTATCTCTGTAGTGTTATGTCATTTTATCCTGGACTTTGACCAACTAAGAATTTGCTTGCTTTAAAATCTTTCTTAATATTGTCCCACTTCTCTTACCTCTTCAGAAATCCATCACCATGCAGTGTTGTATAGCAGGGTTCCTCAACGTTGGCAACTTTAAGACGGGTGGGCTTCTACTTCCCGAGGCCGGGGGAATCTGGGGGGTTGAATTCCCCCCTCTTTAAGGTGCCAAAGTTGAGGAACCCTGTTGTATAGTAAAAAATACCAGGACTTTTTCAATAATGAACAGACTAGTTCAGCCACATTTAGATTTTCCTTATTTTTGTTCCAAGCAGTTCTTCTCAGCAACATTTGAAGATCCAGATTTAAATTTCATCCCAAACAATTAAGAAACTCCCCACAAGTCACCAGCCGGAAATGTTTTGGTGCAATATTAATAGTGAGCATGTAGCAGACTTTAGTTGAAAACGACACATTCAGCAAGATGGCTTTGCCCCAAAGCTGCTTCTTTTCAACACCTTGCCCATAGCCGTGTGGACATCCTTGTTCCGCAAGGTATAAATGATGGGGTTAAGCAGAGGGGTCACCGCAATGTACAAGACTGCAATTTTTTTCTCCCGATCAGGATCTGAGATCGACTGGGGAATAATGTAGATAGAGATGATGGTACCATAGAACAAGGTGACCACAACAAGGTGGGAACCACAGGTGGAGAAAATTTTCTGCCATCCCGCAACTGACTGCATTTGACAAATGGAATACAGGATGCAACTATAGGAACATAAGATAATAGAAAAGGGAACTAGAACAATAAATGTTGATAGACCATTCAGGATGGCTTTGGTGCGTTTGATATCACCACATGCCAGTTTCAGGACAAACTGCAGTTCACATGTGAAATGGTTAATGGAATTAGAACCACAGAAGGGATGATGAAAGATGCAAACAATGTTGACCATTGAGAAGAGGCAACCCATGATCCAGCAGGAGGTGGCAAGGAGGTGTTGGTGCTTCCTGTCCATGGCAGAGGCATATCTCAAGGGCTTGCAGATGGCCAGGTAGCGATCATAAGCCATGACACCCAACAGCAAACATTCGGTACTGCCCATGCTCAAAGCGCTGCATCCCTGCAACATGCAACGTGTTGTGGAAAGCTCTCCATTTCCAGCCAGGAGATGGGCTAACGTCTGAGGCAAAGTGCTAGTGACATACACAATCTCTATGCCTGCAAGATGGCTGAGAAAGAAGTACATAGGCGTATGCAGTTGGGCATCAATGCGTACCAGTATGATGATCAGTAGGTTACCCAAAACTGTCAGCAAGTAGATGATGAAGAACACCAGAAAGAGCAAAATCTGTTCCTTCCGCTGATGGGTGAGTCCCAAGAGGATGAACCCTGTTCCAGAGGTGAGGTTCTCAGCTCTCATTTTGGCATCCTGCCTCTAGAGCGGAGATGTTGACTGGCAATGAGATAAAAGGAAAAACAGAACGAGGAAGAAGGAGAGGGAGAGAAAAGTCTACTTTCAGCCCATTACAGTATAGTACAATCTCAGCTGAGTTCATTCAGTGCTGTCTGTCTGGCCATTACAGATCATAAGTTTGTCAGGAACAGGACTGAATCCGTTCAGGAATACTAGATGATACCAAAAACCCTCTCAACGGATTAGAACAGTGCACTGCTTTTGGCAAATAATGCATTGACTACTATCATGAGGGAGGTGCTCTTGCACTCCATAGTGTTACATATGATTTATCTCCAAAGAGAAAGCATTTTACCAAAAGAAGCTAGAATTTCTGTATAATAGTTTATTTATTTATTAAATTTGCATACCGCCCATCTCCCCCAACGGGTGACTCTGGGCAGCTCACAATTAAAACAAAACCCACAAACAATTAAAAAAATAAATGCACATTAATTAATTAAAATGGATTAATTCATTAAAAGGTCAAGCTATAAAGCAAACCCTATACATAAAAAACTAAAAACATTCAAGATGGGGGGGGGCAGAATCAATTACCCCACTTCCACCGAGGCGAGCCCCCATCCAGCCCCCAGGCCATCTGGCATCACCAGGATTTCAGGCTCTTCCTGAAGGCCATGGGGGGGGCACATTGCACCTCAGGAGGTAGGTTCTTCCACAGAGCGGGGGCCATGGCAGAAAAGGCCCTCTTCCTAGATCCCACCAGTCAAAATTCCTTGACTGGTGGGGTCTGCAGCATGCCCCTTCTGCCAGACTGAGTGGGGTGGGCTGATATAACAGGGGCGAGATGGCTCCTCAGATAACCTGTTCCTGTGCCATGAAGGGCTTTAAAGGTGATAACCAACACCTTGAGTTGGACCCGGAAGCAAACCAGCAACCAATGCAGCTCGCATAACAGCAGTGTTATATGTGCCCCGTGGGGGCATTCAGAACTGTCCACGTCGCCTCATTCTGTGCCAGCTGCAGCTTCTGGATACTCTTCTAGGGTAGCCCCATGTAGAGTGGATTGCAGTAATCCAACTGGGAGATGACCAGGGCATGAGTGACTCTGCAGAGGGCATCCCGATTGAGGAAGGGCATAACTGCTATACTCCTAGCCATGACTGCCACCTGCTCTTCGAACAGGAGTCATGAGTCCAGGAGGACTCCCAGATTATGCACCAGGTCTGTCTGGGGTAGTGCAACCCCATCAAGAACCAAAGATGACAAACTCCTAGATCTTAAGTCTCCCCGTACCCACAGCCACTCCATCTTACCAGGGTTCAGCTGAAGCCTGTTGTCCCCCATCCAGGTGCCTCCAGCCTCCAGGCACCACAAAAATAGTTGTAGGAAATATGTAGAAAAGTTTCATTAAGGAAAACAAATACAGTAGTGGGTGGAAGAAAGTAAGGAGGGATGTTGGCTGACTAGTTCCCACAATCTGGAGTAATTTGCCACTGTCTTCTTCTGAGATGTTCCATGAACTTCCCAGTCTAGTCTATAAGTCCAAATTTCCTGGTGATTTCCCATTCAATTACTAGATGGATCTGATTTTTTTAATTTTTGGAAATCAGTCAAGGTTATCTGCCATTTATCTGGTCCTTCATCCCTAAACTGATAAAACTAATAAAATAAAATATACCTCTGTGCTTCTCCAAGCAGTTTGTCAGCTCCTGAAGAATTGTGCTACATAATACTAGCATCAGAAAAAGTGCCAAACCTAGGTAGATGTGAGTTGGATTCCCATGGAATGATGCTGAAATTTAATGAAGTATTTAGGCAGGGATCATCAGAAACTCTCATCTTTGGTCCTCAAAAATGCTGCCTGAATTAGATTCTTAGTAACCTGATAGAAATGGGGCTGAAGCTGGACTGGGAAATCAAAGCATATCCTGGAAGAAGAGATAGGCAAACCTCTTCTATATTATTCCTGAGAAAACTGCATAGATGATTTCATGAAGTCCTCAGGAACTAAATTCAACTAAAATTTGAAGGACATTTTACCTTTATTAAGCAACAATTCAGTGCCTAAGGGGAACAGAGTAGCCCACTGGCTTCCTTCTTCATTATAAGGAGAAGATTTTGTAAGACTCTGAATGGATGGATTTACTCACTTAAAATTGCTTGACTCCCTTGAGTCCTCTCCTGTAGATCATTACAAATGTTCCTGCTTCTTTAAACCTCATGGGAACCTGGGAGACTAATTTAAAACAAATGAAGTCAATGTGATGAAATTGCTTCCATTAGCAACTTCAGATTTAGGCCTGTTTCCTTTGCCTGGACAAGAGAAGGCTTCAACCTCTCTCTTTTCCCTGAAATTGGGAAGATCTCCAATGATAGCGTTCCAAGAGAGCTTCACAGGGACAGTGGCCATCTCCTACTTCAGTGCTGTTGGTAGGGAAATAGTTCCTTCATCATTTTGTCATAGGGATTTGGGGTCTTCCAAATCAGTAGTCCTGCATCCTAAGATGAAGGTACCCAGAAAGCTGCCATGAAAGTTTGGGCCAAGAGACTAAAATAAGCTCCTACCAAGACCTTCATATTCCCTTGTAATATTGTTCTGGGAACTGGAGTTGTGGGATATCTTCCATCTTGGAAGAGGGACACACACAGTGATTGAAGTGAAGTGAATTAGATAAGTGCACCACTGGATTTCTATCAATGATTAGGCAGAGCCTAAATGAGTTAGAGAGGCTGGAGTATTATGCTGAGACCAAACAGACAAAAACTAATTTAATTAACCAAAACATTAAGACAATACTGATTTACTTTCTTCTTTGTTTCCCATTGACATGCAACAAAACTGAAGAAGTCAGGATAAGATCAGGGGGAAAAAACCCAAATGTGTAAACTGTCCACATGTAAAGAGTAAGTGTCAAATTCTGGGTGCCACATTTTAAGAAAGAATGTGAGGTGTTCAACTAGGTTGGGGAGATGCTTGTTTGCAAGCCAAGTCTTATGAGGAGCAATTTCAGATAATGGTTCAGTGGGCTTCTATTGCTTTAGATTTGTTCTTCTGAATCAGATAAAATTCTCCAATATTACTGAATGATGTGTGCTGAAAGGAGAATTCCAAAATTACAAATGGTTTCAACTGCGGGTGAAGAGAGGACTCCTTTTGATTGTACATCATCAGGAACTGATACATAATAACACACACATCAAAATTAAGAATGATAATAATTTAGGGTGTGGACCAAAAAGATGAAAGTCATTACATTAGGAAGCAACACACACACACAAACATGGAAAGATTATTTATTTGCTTGTATACTTCTACCTTAAACATTTATGATAAACTTGAAAACATAAGGATAAAAAAGCATATGCAGAAAGTGATGAAGCCATCTTCCCTTAACCTCTCTCTCTCTCTCTCTCTCTCTCACACACACACACAGATACTGATGTTACATTATGTTATGCTCCCATGTACAAGGTTTTACATGATTTCTACCCTCCCGCATAAGTTCCATCCCCCATGCCCGGTGACGTTGCCACTTTTTCAAGGCTTACAAAAGCCCAACAGAGTTGGAGCTACTCCTATTGGTGGGGGGGTGTGTGAGGGGATGGTGCTCCAAAGAGAGGACACCAAGAACGAAAAAG